GCGCGGAAGCCGGAAGAACGTACACCCCATGTCTGTGTGTTTGTGTGTATGAAGAAGTAAACCGGGACTATCATGTTGCTCTGATTTGGTTCGATCGGTCGTCTACAAAATCAGTCCAAGCTTGCGGGGGGCTTGGCGAGGCCTTCGGCCAAAGCCTATGGATGTTGATTGGCATGAATTGGCGTTAGGCCAACCCGTAATGCCCTCATTCCCCATGGCACACCCCCCGTCGTGCCGGCGCGGCTGCAGCGTGTGGTTTGCCATCGTAACCCGAGAAAGACTCACTTTTTTTAGAGAAAATGCATGCTCCTGACTTTATAGATAAAGTCATCAGGCGGCAGCGGAGAAGACTCACTACCCTCCACCTCTTTGGACCAGGTCGGCATCGTCGATCGTTTGGTCGGCGATTGAGGGTCCACGGAAGCTATATTTGGTCGGCTTGACTGAGAGGACCCCGACCCTAGATATTGGCAACTTTTGAACGACGTCCACACTAGGTGGGCTGTATCGGTCAACCCCAATATGCGACCAAACAAGGCCTTCGTTTCACTTCTTATGCATGTGTTTTTGGAGATTTGGGATGAGAGAAATGCTACAGTTTTTCGCAATTTTACATCTTTGCATATAATTGTATTTGATAACATCATGAGAGAGGCTAGGTTGTTTTTCGAGAAATGATGGAATTTATTAACTCACAATGAAGCATCTTGATACTCATTTAAAAAAATTCTGAGGACCATATTTATCTTGATACTCGTACTAAAACGGAAAAACAAACAAGTCCTTACGAAAACAAGCCTGGTGGGCAACACCTGCATCTTCCAGCCGCCGCTTCCTCCTCCAAGAAAAGCTAGGGTCCATGCCTCTCGCCGGCTCCGCCGCAGCTCCGCCTCGTCTCCGGTGGCCCTAGGGTCATGGGGGCGCGGTGGATCCTGGCAAGGGCTGGTGGGAGGGCTCCGTTGTTAGTCGTTCCTTCAAGATTTGTTAGCGTTTGTGTCCTACTCAGAAAGATGAGACCGTGACGGCTCCCTGAAGATGGAATAAAGGTCTCCCCGTCTAGTGCCCGTTCCGTGGTGCGTCTAGCATCGTTGGTGGGCGTGTGGAGGTGTGTCTCCGGCGGATCTATCCTCGGTGGATTTGATCGGATATGGTTATGGTTCATCTATGTTCATGTGTCTTTAGGTTGGATCCTTTCGATCTACGTTATTCTTTATCAGCGACGGTTGCTGTTCTGGTGCGTAGGTCCTACGGGGCCTTAGCACGATGACTTCCCGACTGTCTACTATAACAAGTTGTGTCCGACTCCGGCGAGGGAGGGGTGATGACGGCGGCGTGCCTTCGGCTCGCTTCAGTGATTGTAGTCGCCGCTAGGTGGTCTACGGATCTGGATGTAATTTCTATTATTTCTAGTGTTCGTTGTACTGCCATGATAGAAGATAAATAGATTGAAAGTTTTCTCGCAAAAAAATGGCTGTATGCATCCCTAGTTGGTGTAGAGGCGGGGAAGTGAAATTCTCTCCCATTTTGAAGGACAGGGGTGTTTTCACCACCATCTAACCCCCTTCCCAGAAGGACGTTGTACAACTTGGAGTTATCCCCTCGCCTCCCTCCCCTCGTTCCCGTGTCGCCCACCTCGCGGGTGACCCAGGCAGAACCCTAGCCGCCGGGCGAGCTCCCTCCTCGCCAGATCTCCCTCCCCTCGCCGCCGCCAGCAGGCGCCGCCGGGCAAAGCCCGCGCAGCGGTGGCGGCAGTGGGGCACTCCGGTTCTCCCTCTAACGATGCTCGGGCATTGCGGGGTATCCGCCGTGGGAGCGCGTGGTCGCCGTGGCGAGCTTGCGTTGGGGCTGTGCGGCGTGTGCGTACGGTGCGCGGGAGCGCGTGCGGTGCGCGGACGCAGGCGTGGGGATCTGGCTCTCATGGCGACGGCGGCTGGCAGATCGAATCTCGGGGCGGCGGCCTCGATCGATGGAGCGCGATGCGGCCTGCCTGGCAGGCGGCACCCGCGGGTGCAGATGGGGGGCCTTCTACGGCTGCGTGCGTGACGTGGAGGTGGCGGCGCTACGGCGACTCCTCGATGGCTGACCGGAGTTCCATGGGAGGCGTCGTCTCCGACTCAATCTACTCCGATTCGTGCGGGCTACGGTAGAGACTACGGTTGACGTCAATAATGCCTGGACGGATGTGGCGAGTGGGCATGGATCCAGGGGAAACTCTAGGCCAGCATGGCGGCCGCACCAAAGTCGATGTCCTCGGCGCCGATTCCCTTCCTGGAGTCTTCGGTGTGGATCCTATGCTCCCCACCTCTGCCATGAGCGCAGGCGAAAGCCTCTGTTCCTCTGTTTGGGAGACGATGACACTTTTGCGTCGTGTTCCTTCCTGAAGGCATCGGCTGGGGACTGCTCAGGGTGGTGGAGTTGCTGGTAGTTCGGAGTCGACGCGAGATGGCATGTAGGTGGAGTGGTGTGGCATCAACCGTATCGTCAACGGTGGGTCTCGGCGGCATGGCGCAGTGGAGACTCGGCGCGTGATGCGCGGAGATGGACTCGCATAGGAGGAGGAAGTTGTCCGGTGTCATGGCGGCGTTGATGGCAGAGAGGCCTAACAAGGTCGGTGCATCAGTTCTGCTCTGAGGATGGACTGATGGAAGATCGACGTGACGGCCCTTGCAGCGTGCGGTGCTCACTGGGAGTGTGTCGGACCGGTGTGGGACCCAATCCAGGTAGTGTCCTGGATGGGACACCCGGCATTAGATGTTAGGCTTTAGTGCGATGTCTGTTTGGTATTAGGCCCGGAAATTCGGCACACCTTCATCAAGGGGATAGGAGTAGCAACAACGTTGCCAAGATGGTGGCTTCTGGCTTATTGATGTATCACCTTGTATAGTCTTTGTGAATAATTAATGAAATGACTGCATGCATCATCCAGATGTAGAGGCCGGGGGTACATCCTCCTTTTCTAAAAAAAAGTGGAGATAAACACAATGAGCACATACCCAGCCTCCGGATAGCTATGATGCATCATTTTTTGAATGAATTTGTGTTTAAATTCAAATTTGACATGTTTAAAAAACTACAATATTCCAATAATAGTCCTCTTGAAATTCTTTGAAACATATATTTGTACATTGTTTTCGAAGTTTTCACATAAGCCAGTTTTCACAAGACCTTTTCTCATAATAAGAGTGGGGCTAGTACTTCTTACACTAAGATGGTGTCACGCTGCCACTTTATTTCTTGGACTTGCCTTCCACTTTCTTTCCGAAATTGAGTTATTTCGTGCGTGCGTCCTGGTCAGGGCCATGCTTTACGTGATGGCATCGGAGGATTTGGACTTTGGAGTAAGGATGAAAATGGAGTGGAAACTTTCCATTTTTTCGGAGGAAAAATGGAAACGGAGGGGAAATATGAAAATGAAAACGGAAATTTGCAAAACGGAAGTAAAATGAAATTTTTTATGCGGAAACAAAAACGAAAACGGAACGGTGTTTTCCGATGGAATATGCATGGAAATGGAACTTTCTGTTTCCGTGAATATGGAATTTCTGTTTTTACTATAGACCTATAGCTGCTTTGTAGCTCAACTATCAAAGAGAACACAATGACACAATTAGTAGAATGGATCTAAGGCCCAACTTCTACTACCACATATGTACTCAGCTTGACCCTATACGCAATTGTCCGGTACTTGTATAATACTATGCTAAGTTGCTAACATAATGATATTATTTTGTAGCCATGTTAACAACTCATTAAATTTGTTTGTTTTTGTGTGTATTTCTCTATGATTCAAGGGGTTTTTAAGTTCCGATCAATGTCTATTTCTGTTTCCGTATTCGCTTTGTACTCGCTCCGTGTCCGTTTTCGGTAATATCTGTTTTTGTATTCATTTTCGGGGTTTCTGTATTCGTTTCCGCTTCTGCAAAAAAATATGATAACAAATATGATAGCACTCAGTTCCGTCTGTTTCCGCTTCATTTTCATCCCTACTTTGGAGTTTGGAGTGGCAACGGGGTGAGCGCGCATCTCCGTCACAATCGATCGACGAGGAAAGCAAACAAAATGGGCTGCCAAGGTTGCACCCGGCCTGCCACTCGGGGTAAGCAGAAGCCTGTCTTCCTTCTTTGTTTGGGCCTGCATAGACTCAGGCAAGAGAAGGCCTATCGCCCAACGTTGATCAGTGTGGGGGATTGGGGTCGCACCGCCGCTGGCTGTCCGGTAGTGCCCCCAATTCCCCGGCCCATCCACAGCGTGCGGCTGCCGTCCTGACTGGTGATCCCAGCAGAGAAGAGACTAGCCTCTGGTCATGGCGTCCCGCCGCCCGACCGCTAGTCTGGTCCAACCCCACGGACCCGCTCGGCATCGGCGGTGGCAATGGTGGCAAAGAGGGGCCGCGGAAGCCGTGTTGCCTGAGAGGCCGAGAAGGGCCGCGGCTCGCCACCGGAGGGAGAGTGTCACCACTCACCTACTGAGAAGGAGCAAGTAAGTATGCTCCATCCTCCTCCCGTGTACACGATTAATTTGCTTGCTGCTAATTGGCACGTGTGTGTCACAATATTCAGATGGATTCTACGATTTTAGGGGCTGTAGTTAGAGCCTACATCCAATGCTCAGATCGCATTTATTGAGTTTATTTAGATGTACATACACCTACAATTGTTGGGAATTCTGAAATTCTGCTTTCTACCTAGATTGCGATTATTGAGTTTTGGGGGAAATTTGCAGTCAACAAGGTCTCGGTACCTGTCTGCCTCTGGCATAAGATCCAATGCCTTCTAGCAGTTGGAACTTGGGACACAAAACTCGTCACACCAATTTGTATTCCTTCCATGGTCGGTAACTTAGGACGATGGTCATGAATACATGGAATGTGTTATACTACAAAGCCGAAATTCGTCGTGCTTGCTTAGTTTCTGAATGTACTGTATTACATGCCACCTTCTCATAGTGTTGGGAGTCAATGTAGGTTTTTTTGATTCAAAAGGCTTATCTGCTCAAAGAGTTCACAGTTGTTGCAGGATTTTGGAATTCGCGAGGCTTGTCTCCTCCGATCTTGTAGAACTTCCACTTTGTACATCCATATTGTGAGCTGAACTTTCACTGGAATGAGAGATGATCACTTAAGTCAGGTTGTTGCAAAAATAATAATGAAACAAAGAGATACAAACGAACAAAAATATCGGAAAATATCTTACAGTAGTTCACAGAAGTTCTGCTTCGGCGGCATATCCAAGTCATCTAAGCTTCTCTCAAACATTTCTAAAACCTTTGTTATAGTAGGACGATGCAAGGGTATTACTTGTATACACCACAAGCCAATTAAGATCATCTTTCTCGCAATCTCCTCTATTTCATTGGTGACTTCACATGCTTCTAATCCATCATCTTGCACAAAGTGGTCATAGATCCAATCAGGGAAATACTTTTCACTGGATTTTGCAGCAATTAATCTTACATTTCTCCTCCCTCCAACCATCTCTAGCAGCATCATTCCATAACTATAAACATCTGACTTTGTTGAAACCACCCCGAAGGTTCGAGAGTGAACTTCTGGTGCAATGAATCCAATTGTTCCTCTAGCTCCTGTCATTGAAAGCTTGCTCTCCTTTGTATGACACAATTTAGCTAGACCAAAATCAGCAATCTTTGGGCTAAAATCCCTGTCTAGAAGTATATTTTGGGGTTTGATGTCGAAATGGATGATACGTGTATTACAGCTATAGTGCAAGTATTCGAGGCCACGAGCAATCCCGATTGCTATCGCATAGAGCCTCTCCCATCCTAAAATTTCTTTGGGGCTCCCTGAGTAAATGTACTTATCCAAGGAACCATTGGGCATGTGCTCATATATAAGAGCTCGTTTTGATCCCTCCAAACAAAACCCAAATAAGCTAACAACATTAACATGAGAGGTCCTGCCAATGCTCATAACCTCATTCACAAACTCATCTCCATTTCCTTTGCAGTCATGCAAGAATTTCACTGCAACCAGACGACCATCATGTAGTTTTCCTTTGAAAACCACACCGTAACCACCTTTTCCAAGCTGATTGTTGCGAGAAGACGTTATCTTCATTACCTCTGAGTACATGTATTTTTTTGGAGCTAGGGATCCATATGACACTATCATGGCCTCGTATTTTTTTTCAGTTTTACTGCTAGTCTTGCAAAGGAAAAACCATAGTCCTTTCCCATTTCTATGCCATATGAGCACATAAATACATGCAAAGAGAAAGGTTGCAGCTGCTGATGTTATACCTGAGATGGAAGCAGATGTTATTTCCTTTTGCGAACCAGAAGTTATAATACCATTATTTCAAGACCATCAGTAGTTCACGTTTATCTTTCTAGAAGAGTACATGGTGGTAAAAGTAGCAACAAGCTAACTGCCATAAATTAATAAGTCATGTTAATATGCACAAGCTTAGAGTTGCTTGACCCAGATTTTTATTTCAATTTTCAGTGATCACAGACATGATAAATTTTGAAATTCCTATTTTGTCATAGAAAATCGCAAATAGTAATTGGCTGATATTTAAATCATTATATATATATGAAAAGATGGCAAAAAATTTAGCATACCTATTAGTATAATCTTCTTCGCTCTCCTCTCACTACCTGGAATATAACATAACATTTATGAGTAAAAGCAGTGTCGTCCAATAGGACCACATTGGTTGTTTTTTCCAAAAGAAAAAGACAATTATCATATATTAATCTTAAATATTCTGCCAATCATATATGCAAAAAAATTACATTGAAAGATAGTGAATAACAATAGAATGGACTTCATATGTGAGTTTCTTTTGATTGAGCTACCATGTCGCTCAAATACAGGTTTGACAACAAAAAAGTTATAGGCATGTGTAGATTTAATAGCCATGCATATTCGACAAAAAAACATGTGTTTCTTTGACATTGCAAACAGTGGACGGTATCAGTCTGCATAGCGCACAATTAGTGGGAACATGCGTGCTCTGTTAATTTATTCTGGAAATGACCTCTGTACCAGCATGATCTAGTGTGCCAAAAACGAAGAAAAAGCAATGTCTTCTGGCAAGATATATGAGCTTGTCGATTTTAGAGACAAGCAGGGAGTGGTTGATGTAGAAGATCTCGTGGATCTGGAGCCTGTATCTGCGGTTGTAGTACCCGAGGTAGGGGACGCCGTCGGTGCTGCAGTGGACCTGCAAACTGAAGTGCGCGCACCTATTCTCCCCAGGACCTCGCGATCCAAAACGGGGAGGATATGGTCAAGTTGCCGCATGGCTCGGGCGAGCACTCACCGTCTGCCGTCGTGAACATCGGTGCCAGCATCCTAGAGACAATACGAGGAAGAAGAACAGCATGGCCTGAGACATGGGAACATTACACGAGGAGAATTTCAGTCAATGGTTTCGATGAGACAATGGTCTATGACGAGGAGGATAATTTTTTGGCAAGAGGAGATATGAACCAAAACCTGAACTGAATAATTCATAGTAGGAGGAGGGGATATGAAGAGGGAGAAATTGCGTGGATGATACCAAGATAAATAAATGGAGGGAAATGCGGAAGGAACGACCAAAAATGGAAAACAATGATGTTGGATGCATGCGAACTGAGTGATTTGAAGAGATACTATTGAAGGGAGAAGATAATATACGCGGTGCTAGCCAACTACTTTCACTGGTTCAGTGGACGCATTGACTTGTCCATACCCACTAGAGAGAGTCAACATCCAAATGTCTCGATCCATATTTAGTTGGTGCGGTGTTCCACAGTTTTATTGCGAAACTTATTCCCACCGTAAAATGCATTGTTATGTTTAGAGCAAGTAATGCATTGTTATGTTTAGAGCAAGTAACTCGAGGCACGGAGGGTTGTCATTGTCAGAGTGTCAGTACAGTCCAATACATTTTTTGAAGCAAGGTGTGCACTGCTTCTTTCGGGTCTATTAGATGCACTTCAGGTTTTCAACTAGCAGCATGTTGTCTAATTCTGTGTGTTCAACAGGTACTATGTGAATTTGGAGGCAGGAAATTTGGAATAGCAACAAATAGATAGAGGTGGTGGGATGGGAGACTGAGGCCGGAGACTTGACTGGTTGAAGAATGATTTGTCGAAAGGACATAGTTCGGCAGAACCCAATGGTGCGATGCGTTGTGTCCTCACTCCTCACTACCACCGTTTCAGCACTTCAACTTTTTCACACAAATGCCATAGTTTATTTGCATGTTCAAAAGTGTAAGAATTGACTAGGGAATGGAATTCGATCAATTTGCAGAGTTTTTTTTTTCTGGACTCCCTGCACCTTATGGAGCGCACGCCATCGGAGCAACTGTTGGCTACGCATTTGGGGCAATCGTCTGACGACACTATCCACTTCAAGCAATAATCCTTGCCTCATGATCGAGACATAATCGGACGGAAACCCAATAAACCGGCACGACGGAAATGTTGCAGGCTGGGGGCATGCAGTTCCCATTGGCACGCCAGGCACGGTTTTTTTTTTGAAAGCGGGCTGTTGTTGCTGCTCTGTTAAGCCAGCCTCACGCTGTGCCTGCCATATTATGGACCGTGAGGCCCAACTTTCGCATAGGCCCCAAGTAGTCCACTAGGCAACTTGGAACGGGCGGGCCAACAGTAGTACACCCAAACCAGGCCCGCAACACTACAACAGTGTCCATATCACTTTAATGCCCCCACTTGGGTTACAAGCTCACGCAACTGAGCTTGGCACGTGTAGTTTTGGCTTGATGGGTTGTATTTCGGCTATTTCTTCCTATTTGAGCTGTTTTATATAGCCTATAAATATTTTAAAAATATGGAAATAAATAAATAAAGCTAATTGCGCCGTGCCGTACCAGCCCGTGTGCCCAGCCTCCAGGCCCAGATACGGCCCCTGGTGTGCTGCATGCCGGGCTCGGCCCGTTTAGCTCGTGTTGTGCCGTGCATGCGTGCTAATGGGCCGGCCCAGCTGGCATGGCCCATTTGGCCAGCTATAGTCCAGGATGCCAACATTGCGTGGTGCAGACTTGTGGAGTCCAGAGTTCAGTGAGACTAGGCAGAAGTTATGTCGAAAGACTTTTATTCTGAACTCCGAACCATACCCTAGTTCAATTTGTTAATGATTTTCTAACGCTACAAGTACTGAGAGGGCTAAGTACTATGCCTTAGAGGGAGAAAGGAGACGAGCCCACAGGTTTACCAGACAGATGTAACTGCGCAAGGCTAATACTATGTGATCCGGAGAAAATCTAACTAAAAACAAGAATGTCAGCACATGTCCATTTGGCTAGTGTAGGCTATGGACAAGTCTCGCGCTGGCCGGTTGCGGCCAACATCCGCCATGCGATCAATTTAAGCCTTATCCTCGGTCGGTGAGTAGTAAGTAGTAATAACATGATTAAAAGATCCAAGAAAGAAAAACATGATTAAAAGATGAATTGACGGGGTGAACTTACCTGGAGGGGGAGGTGGTTCATTCCTAGGTGCAGGTGCAGGGAGAGGAGGGGGCAGTTCCCATTTCAGGAGGAAGCCACTTTGGATGAGCCGCTCGTAGTGGCTCGTGTTCGTCTCGCCGGATGGCAAGCGCAGCACCGGCAAGACGATTGGAACGCAGCCCTCCAAAGCATAACTAGAGTAGGTCCCGGTGGTGTCGTATGGCACCCCCGCATGAACAAACGTGTTGCTTGTGTTCACGCACCTCATCGTCTTCGCCTGCACCAGTTCTTTATCCAGGCGTGCCGCCGCGGCGGCCTTCTCTGTGCAGTTGTACAAGATGAGTTCCAGGTTGACGGGGGAGATCTTAAACGGGCGGCCCAGTTTGGCAGAGGTGTTCCACATCGGCAAGCAGCTGTTGAAGATGTTGGGCGGGTCGTGTAATAGTTGCAGCTTGCGTAGATCAACGACGCGCAAGCTGCGTTCCTCATAGGATATGTCCATGATTGCAAAGCCGGCGTTGTTGGGCACAGAGCTTGGAAGAAGTGGATAACTGCCGTTATAGCATGTAAGCTCGAAGTCCAGCGGTCCAGGCGAACCACATAATCTTCCTGTTTGCCAATCAGTGAGCCAGAACGGGGGGGAGATGGTGACGCTGCCACACTTGGCCAAGCAGCCATCCCCTTGCTGCTCCTCGGCCGCCATGAGCATCAGTGGCAGACACCAAACCCAGGCGAAGGCGAGGAACCAGGACCAGCAGCTCAGAGACATCGGGGCAGAAGGAGGGAAGATTGCAGTGAGCACTGGAGGGGGTCACACGATAGGTGCGGTGGTCGTGGGCTATGGGGACACAGACTACACGTAAAAGAGAACAGCGTGGTCGAAGCTTGAACCATATATGCGGACGGCAAGCGATTGGCCGAAAGATTTGACTGGAAAAATTGGACCAAGCGATCATCCTCCACGAAAATCCCCAATTGACCTGAGTCTGGACGGTAAGCCATGGCTTCTAATATAACAGCTTTGACGGGGTAAGCCATGACAATGACCTCCGTGAGCCCGTGATGTGACTGGAACCGCGATGCCTAGCCCAATTATTTCGGTCCCGGCTAGTTTGTGTTCTTGTCTGCTAGAAAGCTAGGAGTAGATTCTAATCTCAGTACAGCCTTCATACTTGGCATGTAATTAACGGTATCCAACACAGAAAAAAAACCAGTAACTAACACACACCAAAAATACTCTCTAATATACACTTGCACATTTCTATATGTACAAATCACGTCTTTTTTTATTCTAACGTTAGGCGTTAGCCACTGCGTTGTGGAACTTGGCCAGGGTAGAAAAAAGTAACTTCTTAAATAGGTAACTTAGAAATAGAAAATTCATGGAATTGATTGCTAGCACATCTGTCAGAAGAGTTTGTTCTGAACCTACTGAGAGCACTAAGTACCAATATGATTGATTGCTTGGCTTAATTAGGGAAATCCAGCAAATTAGGCACTGCGGCTAGCCGAACTTGATTAAAAAATGAATTGACGGGGTGAACTTACGTGCAGGGGAAGGAGGTTCATTCCATGTCAATAGGAAGCCATCGCTGAGGAGCTGCTCATAGTGGCTCGCGTTCGTTTCGCCAGCCGGGGAGCCCATCACCGGCAAGACGATTGGAACGCAGCCCTCCAAAGCATAGCCTTTGTAGTTCCCGGTGGGGTCGTACAGCACTCCCGGGCGAACAAACGCGTTGCTCGCGTTGACGCACCTCATCGTCTTTGCCTACACCAGTTCTTTTCCCCGGTGTGCCGCCGCTGCGGCCTTCTCCGTGCAGTTGTAGAAGATGAGTTCCAGGTTGACGGGGGAGATCTTAAAGGGGCGGCCCAGTTTAGCAGAGGTGTTCCAGATCGGCAAGCAGCTGTTGAAGATGTTGGGCGGGTCATGTAATAGTTGCAGCTTGCATAGATCAACGACGCGCAAGAAGCGTTCTCCTTAGGAGATGTCAATGATTGCAAAGCCGGGGCTACCGGGCACAGAGCTCGGAAGAAGTGGATAACTGCCGTTATAGCATGTAAGCTCGAAGTCCGGCGGCCCAGGCGAACCACATAATCTTCCCGTTTGCCAATCACTGAGCCAGAATGGGTCGGAGACGCTGCCGCACTTGGCCGAGCAGCGTTCCCCTTGCTGCTCCTCAGCCACCATGACCGCAAGCATCAGCGGTAAACACCAGGCCCAGACCAGGATCAAGAATCGGCCGTGCATCGCATCACCAGTAAGATTTAGAATTTGTCTCGGTGAAGGCTGTGGGGAGACAGTGAAGAACACTAGGTGGAGAATGAATGGTTTACGTAGCCTCTATTCTATGGGCAATGCTACTGAGTCCACATGTCCTTGGAGGACCAAAAGACTTTGACTCTTCTAAAAAAATCAATGTTTTAAATAGCGGGCTATGAAAAATAGCAACGGGCCTCCAAATCAGCTATAGCGGGCTAAAACAAGCTATTTATGAAGGCGGTCATTTAGCGGCACCGCTATAGCCGGCTATTTATAAAACTATGAAAGAAACAAAGACTTTGACTGGTTCTGTAACGAGCTCACGAAAACACCTAGGGAACAAGTCTCGGCTCTGTAATGAGGACTAGGCAATAGCCTAGTGGCAAGGTCGCTGTGCCGCCAACGGCGGCGCCAGGAAGAGAACTCTGTGGGGTCAAAGCTAGGCCTTTCCCCTCCCTTTTGCTACAGTATTTGCAACAGTGAAGACGTAGACCGGCTGCTTTGACAGTGGCGGAAGGGGCGCTGGCCAGCGAGGCGACCTGACCCTGCGGGCAGCAGTCAGCGAGCTCTGGCTCCTCTTCTCCAAGCTCGTTGTAGACTCCATGTCCAAGGCTCTGGCGTGGCAATCAACAGCAGCCTCAAACTAGTACTCCTAATCTTCTTAACTTGACGGGAACTAAAACATTGGGGAATAAACAAAGGGATTGAGCCTGGCATCGATCGGAGAGGGATCCTCTGACGTATGGTATCCTGCCGTTGGGCCACTGATATGTGGGTCCGGATCCACATGTCAGTGGGCCAACGACACGTCAGAGGAGCTTCGTTCGGGAAGACAGATGGGAGATTCATTGGCTGGGAGAGAGAGCACGTGAGATGGGATGGCTTTCTTGCTAGATGGCCCAAATTTTCCACCATATGAGTGAATGACAGTGGGGTCAGCTGTTGTGACCTGTGGGTTCAAAGAAGTACTCATAGCTGGGGTTCAACAGGCAACCAAAAACCTGTGGGGTCAGCTATAACGTCGCTTCGCCGTACCTTACAAACTGAAGTTCGACTCCTGTCAGGGGTTGAATTTTCCGTAATCTCATCCAAGTGGGCTTCTTCTATCAAAATATGTCGTGGGTGCTAGTGCCCATGGATCTCATTTTTTTCCAGCTCGGTAGTGGACTACCGTTGACTGGCTGTTCTTCTCTACAGCATCATGGGCCAGTCTGAACTCGGTTTACCTAGACTATGGGCTGAAGTCACCCGCTTGGCCTGCTCAAAGCCCCGCCCTCTTGGTGTGGTTACAAGAAACGGGAGGCCGAGAGCCCAACTCTGCCACCGTTACTGCCGCCACTGGCTGATTCACCGTGCCACCTCCCATGCACCCCCGCCGCCGCATCCCGCAGATGCCGTCGTGAGCCACACAACATACTCTGATATGCTAAGTTCATGGATAAGATACTTCAGTCTTGAAATGAATTGTTGCAATGTTTAGCTTCACAATGATGCATCCAATCCAGGTTACTGAATTTTGTAGGGCCGTGGTTCGAATAGAGCCTCAATCACGCTTACTTTGATTTGGAGGCCTAGCTGTTGCTTGCTTGCATAACCCTGCTAGTTGTCTGACTTTGACATAGCACTCGGGTGCCTTTCAAAACTTGGAATACCAAACGCATCCAATCACCCAAATAACTAATGTTTGCTTTATTCCTAAGTATACTTTTCGTCCCTCAACTCTTAGTGAAATCTAGATTTGGTCCCTCAACTTCAAAACCGAATAACTTGCACCTCCAACTAATGAAACCGGACAACGTTCGTCCTTGGTCTCGATTTTAACCGGTTTTGGTGCTGACTAACCCCGGTTTTGACCCGTGCCGACTCAAATTTTCGCGTATTTTTTCATATCCGTGAACTTTTTGAAATTCACATAGTTTTTTCAAGGTCGCGCGTTTTTTTCAAAAATAAACATACCTTTTTCAAATCCGTGAACTATTTTGAAATTTGTGCACTTTTTTCAAATCCATGATTTTCTTAATTTGCGTACTTTTTTCAAATCAGTATATTCTTTCAAGTTCGTGTAATTTATATCAAATCCAAGGGTTTTTTTCGAATCCATGAAGTGTTTTTGAAATTCGTGTACTTGTTTCAAATCCGTATACTTTTTAAAGTTTGTGTATTTTTTTCAAATCCGAGTTCCTTTTCCAGTCCATGAAATTTGTTTGATATTCAAATACTTGTTTCTAGTTGACAAAAATTTTCAAATCCACATATTTTTTTTCTAATTTGCGTAAAAGAAATTCAAATCCACGTACGTTTTCAAGTTCGAATGAATTTTCAAGTCCAAAAAAGGACGCGTGAATATGAATAAGTACGTCAATTTTAAAAAATTACATGAATTTGAAAAAACCACATGAACTTTAAAAAAGCACATGGATTTAAAAAAAGTACGTGAACTCGGAAAAAGTGCGTGGATTTAGAAAAAGTACACACATTTTTAAAAAGTTCACATATTTGAAAAAAGTACCCGAATTTGAAAATATTAAGCGGAATTGGAAAAGGTACGCAAATTTGAGTCGGCACAGTCAAAACTGGGGTAGGACAGCACCAAAACCGGTCAAAACCGTGACCAGGGATGAATCTTGTCCGGTTTCAGTAATTAATGGTGCAAATTGTCCGGTTTTGAAGTTGAGGGACCAAATCTAAACTTCGCGAAGAATTGAGGGATGAAAAGTGTACTTTTGTCTTTTTGTTTCTATCAAATACAATAATCTCAAATGACTTTTCCTTATCAAATTGCGCAACCATTCTTAGTAGAAACACAATGCGATGTTTGAAAATAAATATTTCTGTTACACACTGTAATATCATAATGGTAATGCAGTGGAAATTCGAATTTACATTTGTCCACATAATCCTACTTTTGGACTATGGTAACAGAGAAGGGGATGCGGAGCAATACGATGATCTGTAACCATAACTTGTATGCGACGACAAGTATGACGGGATCGAGGGACATGAAAGGAACGGCTTTGGTGGCATCTCCATTTCGTTGATGCTCTTTTCCAACATATCAATCACCTTGCTCATCGAAGGGCGGCTTTCGGGGTTAGTTTGTATGCACCATAGGCCGACCAAGGCCATCTTTCTCATGGCCTCTTCAAGGTCGCATGGGACTTCACAACTTTGTACCTGTTCTGTTATACTGTCATAAATCCGGTTTGGAAAATACACATCACTTGAGCTATTGGTAATCCCTTTTCCTTTATGTATCCTTCCTCCTACCATTTCCAGGAGCATCATTCCATAGCTATAGACATCCGACTTTGTAGAAACGACTCCAAAACCTCTAGAGAATACTTCTGGAGCAATGAATCCAATAGTACCTCTTGCTTCGGCGACAGAGAGGATGCTACCGGCCTTGAGGTGACACAATTTCGCTAAACCGAAATCTGCAATCTTGGGACAAAAATCTTGATCTAGAAGTATATTCTGAGGCTTGATGTCAAAATGGATGATGCGAGTGC